GTCCCCGGTGAAGCCGGATAACGGGGTCTTGATCGGCTTCAGCAGAGCTCTGTCCAGCTTCAGCTGCTTGAAGGTGTCCAGGTACATCACGTTGACGGAGCTCCCCGTATGATGTAAGTACGGTGGATGATGGAGTCACCGATCTCACATCGGATGACGAGGGCGTCCCTGTGTGATTCTGTACCCGGAGGCAGATCCTTGTCGGTGAAGGTGATCGCCTCCGTTCGCTGCCTCTTCGGCTGGGGGGGAACGTGGGACACCTCCCCGATGTAAAGGGATTGGGCCCATTTCTTTCTCTGAGTGGCGGAGTCCCCCCCCAGTGTTCCCACCTACGATGAGGTGGATGTGATTCTTCTTCGGCGGGGGCTCTTCGAAGTCCTCGTCGTCGCTGAGCCTACCAATCTCCTGCTTCTTCGCAGAGGGTTCGCCCCCATGTTTGCCGGTGTTTACCCAAGTGTTCTTGCGTGGGCCACCTTTGACAAATTGGGAGAGTTCCCCCTGGCGAATAAGGCGCTCGATGGCCTTCTTCAGTGTGATGCAATCGTCGGTGTTGTGCGACGAGTTCTTGTGGAACCGGCAGTACGTGCCGCCCTGCTGGATGGCAAGGATCTCCTCGGCCGGCCGAGGAGCCTGCTCGATGAGGCCGTGCTTCTCGGCATAATCGAGGATGGTGCCGACCGGGTGGGTGAGGGTTACCCCCGGCCGTTCCAACCTCGGCCGCCAGTGGTGGTCTTTCTTACTCTGTCCACCAGAGCCGTGACGGCCCTGGGCACCCTGGCCGGCCGGGGACGGACCCGGGGCCGGCGAAGGATTTGTCTTCTTGGGGGGATGGCCCCCCTCTCTATTGTGATTGTGGAGCTCGTCGGCGTCGGCATACAAGCCTCCGCGCTGGAGCGCCTTGGCGTACGACCTCGGGGGGTCGGTGATGAGGCTCCTAGCGTACGGGGAGCTGCGGAGGGCTCCCTGGTACAAGGCGAGGAGGGTGCGCTCATCGGCCCCCTCGACCTCCTCGGTCTCCCTCGTCCACCGATCGATGAATGACCGGAGGGACTCCTCGTGCTGCTGCTTGACGGAGAGGAGGTGGGTGAAATACTTCTTGGCGCGCTTCCTCCCGGCAAAGTGAGTGAGGAAGCGCTGGGCGAGATCCTGCCATGAGTCGATGCTTCCTTCTGGCAGCCCGTTGAACCACTCGTACGCTGGCCCCTCGAGAGTAGAGAGGAACCAACGGCAGAGGTATTCGTCGGACGCGTTCACCATCAGCATGTTGTTCTGGTAACGGCTGAAGTGCTCCTGGGGGTCTGATCGGCCATCGTAGGACTTGATGGCGTTCCCCCTGTACTTCTCAGGGATGGGGGCCGAGAGGACCCTGTTGGTGAAAGGGGTCCTAGTCCTGACCTGGATGATGGGGTCACCCCGCCCTTCGGCCAGCTCCCTCTCCAGGGCGCTAACTTTGTTCATGAGCGCGTTGAGGCCGGGGTCGTTGGAGGCGCCGGCCGTAAGGATGTTGGCCGACTGCTTGGCCTCCATCTGAGCCAGCCTCCTTTCCAGCTAGGCGATGACCTCGTCCCGGGGGTCCCTATCGGCCGCGGCGGCGCCCGGCTGGTTCCTCAGGCGGTCGTTGTGAGCCGCGTTGATCTGGTGACGCACGTCATCCTCGTGCAACTTCCCCTTGCCCTTGTCCGGGCGGGGCTGGTCCGCTGTCCGGGACACAGACCCCAAACTTTCCCTTGGCGAGCCAGGACGAGGATCACCAATCCGTCCCGCCATCCTTTCCGAAACCGGACGACGACGCGTGTCACCTAGCCTATTGAAGGCAGAGGCTTTTCCACGCGCTGGGGTCTGCCCGGGCCGAAGAGGGGAATCAGGGTGGGAGTGGGACGACGCCGTGTCCTGGGCCACAACCCCCTCATTGTTGCCTATCTGGACGGCCAACGGTTGGGGATGAGGAGGTGGAGTGACGTTTCCCCCGGTCCTTGGCAAGAGTGCGCTGAGGACGGTGGGGTTCTGAGCCAGGCTGGCGATGATGACCGACAGCGCGGCCTGGACCTGCGGATCCACGGACGGAGAGGCCGCGGCCATAGGCTGGGCCGGGGCGTGGTCCGTCTTCTCAGCTCGTTTCTTTTCCAGGCCGAGGCGGGCGTCGGGGACTCCGCCGTTGAATTGGTTGCGGAGGTCCGTCGTGAGGTTGAAGGCCTCCTGGAAGAGGTCCCCCCCGCCGACCTGGTCGGCCGTGGCGTCCTCATCGTGCTCCCTGGGCTCTTGGTCCTCAGGGATGGCTTTGCTGACGAGGGTGCGGTTTGACTTAGTTCTCCCCATGATCAGTGGCTAGCTGTGCTTGGTAGCGACGAAGGGTGCTAACTTGATCGTTCTAGCTCTCAACGAGAGCACCAAATGATAGAGTATATCTAGAGAGAAGTGAGAGCTAGAGAGAGAAGTGCAATAATATGCTTCAATAGAATGAATTTGTAACCCCTATAACTACTCCCAAGGGGAGTATTTATAGAGAAAATTAGGGTTGGGCTCCCAAGTCTTGGGCTTGGGAGGCCCATTTACAACTGGACCGCTACTGGGCCGAATACAAAACCACTAATGGGCTGTATAAATGACTAAGTATAAAATCCGGTTCTGTGAGGTCTTCGTGGCCGACGAGGGCGTGGCCGACGAGGGCACGGCCGACGAGGGCACCCGGGTTTCTTGGACTCAGGACCATAATCCGAGTTGGCCCCTTTTCGGCCGACGAGGGCGCCACTCTGTTGTCTTGTGCTTTCTGTTCTTCCGAGTATGTGGGGCCGGGGGCTCAGACCCATATACTCCATCACAAATCTAAACCCCCCTTTTGTTACTACTTATTTAAAAGAAAAGTATTCCTTTCCCTGTGGATACGAACCTTACTACACTATACTACGTATTAGTGTTGTATTGATTAATTATTTTGAGTGCACCTAACGACAAGTGCACGTCAATGAGTCTACTGACATCTATGAAACATGCAACTTTTGCTCCTTGGAGCCATATAGCTACACCGAAGCCTCCAAAGAAAAAGTTTGGATTAAAGCAATGGAGGAGGAGATCAAAATGATAGAAAAGAATGATACTTGGGAAATGGTAGATCTTCCACATAACAAGGAGGTTATTGGAGTCAAATGGGTGTATAAAACAAAACTGAACCCCGATGGCTCAATTCAGAAGCATAAGGCAAGGCTGGTTGCAAAGGGGTATGCTCAAATACCGGGAGTTGACTACACAGAGACGTTTGCACCAGTTGCCCGGATGGACACAATAAGAACACTCATAGCTCTTGCAGCTCAGAAGAAATGGAAAATTTATCAGCTAGACGTCAAGTTAGCCTTTCTAAATGGAGAGCTACGAGAAGAAGTGTATGTGGAACAACCAGAAGGATTCATCAAAGGAGAAGGAAAAGTTCTTCGTCTAAAGAAAGCGCTTTACGGGCTCAAACAAGCTCCACGAGCGTGGTATAGCAAGATTGATGGATACTTCACCCGTCAAGGGTTCAGGAGGAGTAAGAACGAGGCTACACTATACATCAAATCCCAAGGTAAATATGACATTCTCATCGTCTCTCTATATGTTGATGACTTAATTGTCACGGGAAATAATTCTAAATTAATTGAAGAATTTAAGAGAGACATGATGAACACTTTTGAGATGAGTGACTTGGGATTAATGCACTACTTCCTTGGCATGGAGATAAGTCAAGAAGAAGAAGGCATATTCTTATCTCAAGAAAAATATATTAAGGACATGCTAAAGAAGTTTAAAATGCAAGACTGCAAAGCCGTCATTACTCCACTGGTTCCTAATGAAAAATTGAAGAAAGAAGATGGGTCAAAGCAGACGGACGCAACCAATTACCGAAGTTTGATTGGGAGTCTACTCTACTTAACGGCTACGAGGCCGGACATCATGTATGCTACAAGTTTGCTCTCGAGGTTCATGGAAAGTCCAACTGAGACTCATTATGGAGCGGCAAAGAGACTCCTTAGGTATCTACAAGGAACCATCAATTATGGTATTTGGTACAAAACAACTCCTGACTCACGACTAACTGGATATAACTACAGTGATTGGGCTGGATCTCAAGATGACATGAAAAGCACCTCCGGTTACGCATTTAAGCTGGGTTCGGGAATTTTCTCATGGGGATCAAAGAAGCAAGATTCTGTTGCACTATCTTCAGCCGAAGCCGAGTATGTTGCAGCAGCCGGAGCAGCGTGCCAAGCTATATGGCTAAAAAGAATATTAGAAGACATGGGAGAATTGCAAAGTTCTGCGACTCAAATATTTTGCGACAACAAGTCAGCGATTGCGATGGCTAAAAATCCAATTCTGCACAATCGTACTAAGCACATCAATATCAAGTATCACTTCTTGAGAGATGTCCAAGTAAAGGGGCATATTGAGATGAAGTACTACCCAACAGAAGAACAATTGGCAGATATTTTCACGGAGGCCCTGCCAAGAGACAGATTCCAGTTTCTGCGAAGAATGCTTGGAGTCACCGACAAACGCATCAAGGAGGAGTATTAAATAGTAACGTATTTATCTAGAATATTCTATGTAGAAAATGCTAGAGATGATCTAGAGAGTTAAAGCTAGAAAGTATTCTAGAAAATTCTCTACTAGAGAAATCTTATGTAAAATCTAGAGTAATTAGACATAGATGTAGAATACTCTAGAATCATAACATTTAATAAGGATCTAGAATGATCCTCTAGCTCCTATAAATAGGACTCATTGTACTCATTTGCATATCAAGCAAAACCAAGAAACATCAATACAATACTACTTTTCTAGAGACAAGAACTCTCCTCTAAAACACATCATCTACATTACACCTCACTAAAATCACTTATTCTACTCGTACAACCAACAACCTCTTCTATTTTCTAACCTATCTCGTCGGGTCTTTTCTGTTCTCATTTGGAAGAGAAACTAGTGACGTTGGAACTGAAATCAAACCATTTTAAGTCGGAGTAGCACGGGATATAAATTTATGAAGTTACATAAGAAAAACAAGGCAGCTGCTTTCCTTAGGTTGCAGCATTTTCTTCCTCTACCATAGATAAATTATGTAGACACCTATAAATGATTTTATGTCGATCTGCTGCTAAATTAAGGAAGAACCATACAATAAAAGATGGCGGGAGATGGCGGAGATAGATCATTGGAGGAAACGCCGACGTGGGCGGTCGGCCTCGTCACTTTTGTTATGGTTGGGGTTTCTGTTCTCATTGAGTACATGATCCATCTTATAGGGAAGGTAAGTTTGTAACTTTACCTTACATAATGGTTTTTATCTCATCTTATTATTACACATTTACACTATTATGAACGGGATTAACAAGGAATTTGACACGACTGTGTGCTAAATAGCTCGTGACAAGATCAGGAAGTGCTAAGAATTAGGCACAGATTGTCCGTGTATCCGTGCCTAATTCGTGACACATCTCTTTCGCGAAACTTTGTCAAAGATCCGTGCGAAATCTGTGTGGCATCTGAATTTGTTGATAGGCTTTAATGACTTATTGTCCAGAATTATTATGATGAGGAGGCAAGTTTTGTACTTTGAATGAACAGATTTAGAATTTTATTGTTTATGTACTGATTGCAGTGGTTGAAGTCCAAACATAAAAGAGCGTTAAATGAAGCTCTTGAAAAGATCAAATCAGGTTTCTTTAGTTTGACTTTTAATGAGGGAATTTAAGATTAACTTTTCTTAATTAATTTATGGATTCCAGTGTTTATTTTTTCCTACTGATACAGAAAATTTATATGATTACAGAGCTGATGCTGCTGGGATTCATATCATTGATGCTGACAGTTTTGCAAAGCCCGATTTCGAAAATATGCATCTCCGCGAAACTCGGGAACACGTGGCTTCCTTGCACCAATAAGCAAGAACACAAGTTAGCTGAGTCCGAACACGAATCGTTATGGGACGAGATAAACGGCCGCCGGAGACTTCTCCTCCACGGTGGAACGCGGCGGGTTCTGGCGGCCGCTGCTGACAAATGTGCTTCCAAGGCAAATACACACTGCGGTTATTTTGCTTAATTACGGATATATTTCATGAAATTAACATTTGTTTTGCTCGTTCAAATATTGGGATTTTTTTTATATATCATTCAAAATAGCTTCTCAAATATACACTCGGTATACATTTAAATTTTGAACAATTTCAGGACAATTATAAGGAAATGTTTGAATTTGCTTTTTTAAAACAGCGTCTACGCCTTAAAAAAAGCGTCATCTTTGCTACAATAGAAATAATTGTTACAATATTTGGATGATAGTTTAGAAGTTTTTCTAAATACTCCAAATTGTTCCTAGTTTATGGATTTTGATTATGATACTACTTCTCTTTTTAAGAAACAACCAAAAACACAATCAATTTCAAACGCTTTACTCCGTATAATATACATGGAGGTAATTTAGAATTTGTCATAAATTATATTGGGAAGTAAGAGTTGAAATGACATTTTCATCTCATCTCTTTACAGGGAAAAGTGCCGCTAGTGTCTCTAGATGGTGTTCACCAGTTACATATGTTTATATTCGTATTAGCAATTTTCCATGTACTTTATTGTGTTACAACTCTGGTTTTGGGGAGAGCCAAGGTAAATTTGATCACCTAATGTTATCTTTATATTTGGTTTTATTTGATTTATAATCAAATTTCATTTTTAAAATACTATTGACAATTACTTCAGATGAGAAGGTGGAAAGCATGGGAGAAGGAAACAAAAACAGCAGAATACAAATTCAATAATGGTAATAAAAAATGTTTTCGCTTGGATTAAAATTTGTGGTCTGTTTAAGTCTGATATGATCAACTTAATTCTCATGAATTGGTATGTTCTGATGAGGACTATACTCTCTATTTTTTATGGTCTAAGTCTAGTCAAGCCTAATTTCATTCAGTCAACTGTTTAAGTCTGATTTGATTTTATACTAAAACTTGTCGAAGTAAAAAGATATAAAATCTCGATTATTGTTTATTATCCCATTGTCCCACTATTAAGTTCATATATTTCAACTTATATGTCATCAATGTGAGTTTTTACCACTTTTAATCCTTCGACAAATATGTCACTGACACTTTTGGTACTCAACTTTGAGTTTTTTCACTTTTAATCCTTCGACTATTGTGCAACAGACATTGTTGGTACCCGTCTTTGAAAATTTTCACATAGAGCATCTTCAATGCTACAATGTGCACGGTGCACATGTGGCATAAGAGATAGCCACATAAATATTAGCAAATAAATTATTTCTCTCCTTGTTTAAATGATTTTATATAATTTTGGTAAGTTTTTCTCTGCAATGTCAATCATAATGTCAACATCTAGACGGTCTTCTTCACAATGTGGAGAAAGACTTACTAAAATTGTACAAAACCATTCAAATAAGGAGAGAGATAATTTATTTGTTAATATTTATGTGGTTATCTCTAATGCCACATGTGCACCGTGCAGATTGTAGCATTGAAGATGCTATAATGTGTTTCGACTTTCATAAAAGTGACACTTTTGGTTCTTCATTTGTTATAACAATGACATTTTTCGTCCTCCACTCATTGTGTCAAATTCATAGTGGGAAAATCGCACTTTTAATCCCTGAAATAGTCACCATATTGAAATGTCAGACCCGTATTCCCGAGTTTCTAAATGTCACCCCCAATTATCCAAATTGGTGTAAATGTGGTTTTTTGATGGTGGAATGTACATTGTGGGTGAGGAGTACATTTCACCCCTCAAAAGACCACATTTACATTAATTTGGACAATTGAGGGGTGACATTTACAACTTCCGAAATACGGGTCTGACATTTCAATATGGTCACTATTTCAGGGAAGAAAAGTGAAATTTTCCCATTCATAGTGAAAGGACTAAAATTATAGTCAGACCAACAAATTTAAGTCCAAGTAAAAATATCATAGTCAACGGCCTTAGGATTATATACTTAAAAATTCTAGAATAAATAAAAAGTTAAATAATATATCTAAGCCAAAGTATTCAAAATTACTTTGATGCTATAGATGTTGTAATCTTTGAATAATTAACGGTTAAATATTAACGATATTCACTAAAAGATCAAAACATGAATTAATTAATTTTGAGAAGAAGAGTATTATAAACTAAATTTTAAATAATACTCCGTAATAATAATAAACTTATTATCATTTTTTGTTTTGTATAATTTGAATGTAAGATCCCGAAAGATTCCGGTTTGCAAGAGAGACAACTTTTGGGAGAAGGCATTTGAGCTTTTGGACAACAACACCCAGTCTTCTTTGGTTTGTGAGTATCTTTTTTGTGGTCACCGAACGAACGATGAATAAGTTTAATATGCTAAAATTCATGAAATGTTGCCTGAAAGCAGTTAAACTGGCTGAATATGCTTTCCAAATATTCAAAATATATTTTAGTAATAGAATTAAGAAAGAAATATAATGAAAATAGCTAAAATGGTCCTCTACAGTAACTTCAATCAATTCAGTCACAAAGGTAACTTCAACCTTACTTATTTTGATTATTACACAATTCAACGAGTGAAATAAAAAATCACGTATTTGGTAAAATATTGATTGATAAACTTAAAACATGGGTTAGCAAGTGAGCTCTAAATATAATAAGTATAATAAATATAATTGAAATTATATAGTTGAAACATAAACCGCATAAGGGTTTATAATTATAATCAATAGATTCATCAAATTCTACCAAATAAGGGTTTTCCGCTCTCAGATCCCGCAAAGAAAATTAAAGAGGGATGATGTGCTCATTAAATTTCGAGATGAACTCAGCAATACTCTCTAGTAGATTGAATTTATAGCTTGTTTGATAACCCCGACTTTCGATTTTTTAACTGTTAATATTTTTTATTTTCAAACATGTAACTTTTGATTTCACACACTAAATTATGTAATATTCAAGATAAATAATATTGAAGATAGTTTTCTGCTTGAATTGACTAAATATTGATGAAGATAGCTTTTTTAACTATTTTGTATAATTCAATAGATTTAGCGAATTCAATCACAATATCCCCAATTTTAATAGATTTAACCAATTTTAACTTCTCCAAACGAGCTCTATATTGAAGTTTCAAATGTTGCGTTGAACTTTTTAGGTCTGTTTCTTTCGCCAATTCATACGCTCTGTTCCAAAAGTTGATTATCTAACCCTCAGACATGGATTTATCATGGTATTAACTAATTACAATTTCTTTGTTTTACGATCATGAGAGTGTGCATGTGGTAATAATTTGTTTTTTTTTTGAAAAATCAGGCTCATTTGACACCTCAAAGCGAGGCAAAGTTTGATTTTCAGAAATATATCAATAGATCTCTAGAAAAAGATTTCAAGGTGGTGGTTGGAATAAGGTTGGTTTTTTAGCAATTGTAAACTAGCTCATCAATTTACTATTCAAATTCATTCAAGAGAAAAAATGGTTTTCACTCTTGGTCCAAAGGGTGGAATCTCCCACCCCAAGAGTCCCACCCCGATCCGACAGGATGATGGAGGAGTTAATCACGGTGACTCAGTCAGCAAAGCGACAGTAAGCCTTATACACGTGCGCACTAGAGATTCAGCCTTATTTCAGGTTCTGTAACCTCCATACAGCTGCTGCGGGTTTTGAACCTTGGTCAATTGGTTCAATTATCCCACCACTCGACCAACTGAGCTACCCGTGCGGGTAAATGGGTTTCACTCTTTATACTCGCTCCATCGCCCAAATAGCATCCCACTTTCATCTGGGCACATTCTAGATTTCTAGTGAAAGTTAAAGTGGGGTTGACTTTTTAAATAATACCTCTACATTGTCTCAAATAAAGTAAAGAGTAGTAAGTATAGTTTTGAAGGAAATATTCAATTTATTTTGGGACACCCGACTAAGAAAATGAGAAATTGTTTTTGAAATGGATGTAGCTAGTATTACCGTAATAATAAAATCACATTACTGACTGATGGAGTATATGGCCCGGGAACCCCCGGCCCACAGACTCCTACTACTCCAGCGAAGGCCCAACAGGCCCGGAAGGCCCAACAGGCCCAAATCACAGCGCCCAGAGTACCAAGTAGCCCGCACTACGCGTCAGGGGTGCCTTCGGCCCCCTGGCCGAAGGCTCTAAACTCTCACAGAACGGGTTTCTCAAGCAAATTAAGAAACTGGGAGAAAACGGCGAAAACAGTAGCCCTCGGCACTGTGAGCCCTCGGCACCAGAGTGCCATCGGTTGGAGGAGCCCTCGGCTACTGCTCTATAGCCGAAGGCATCTCACTCGACAAGATATCCGCCTCGCATGCGTGCAGATCACCGTACCCTGCACAGACGTCCCATCCAACAGCCGCATTAAATGCGGCCACATGCGGCTGCCAGCGCCAACCAGCTGAGGTGACCCCTCGGCCAATGAGCGCTTGACACGTGTCCCTGTCCGGCATTTATTGCTACTATAAATAGCACCCCATTTCCCCATTTGTAACCACGGCATTCATACTGAATACACTCTCTCTCTACGTTTACTCACTTGCTCTGACTTCTCTCTAAGTTATTCCCCGCAATAATCCTTCGGATACATACCCCGGGTAGACTATCCATCACTGACATTTGTGCATTTTTTGTTTGATTTCTTATTTACAGTCCTCCGATGTGGATGTTCGCAGTTTTCTTCCTTTTATTCAATACTCACGGTAAGTAAAAATCAGTTCTGTCATGAGTCAAGACTATTTATTATTCTGAAATAGATACATCTTTAGTCTAATTAATGTATTGTGTACAATTATACCAAATGGACCTAATGTAGAATTGTGATACGTAGTAATACTTATAAGAGCAAATAATTAAGAATATTTAATAATTTTTCTCATATGTGTCATTTTCCAACTTGAATATTGACCAATTAAATTGCATAGTTAATATATAGTATTTGTTTTGGACAGGATGGTATTCCTATTTATGGCTTCCATTTCTTCCTCTGATTGTAAGTTTTTCCCTCTTGTGAATGAGTTGTGCGTGTGCATTAGGAAAACATGTTTAACTTTAAGTTTATTGCAAAAGCTCGGTCTTTCATTTTTCCTAAAGTAAAGATAATCAATTAGGACGATGGTAATAGAGCAAAAGTGTTTATAATACTCTCTTATAGAGATTTTGTTTACTATACAAAAGAATAGTATCTTGTGTAAAGATAATCAATTAGGATGGTAATTGAGATCAATCAATTGTATAGCAAGTTGGGAATTCATTAATATAAGTGACCTTCTATCTCTATAATTGCAATATTGGTTTAATGAGAACTAAATAAACTAATACTCTAGATTACAAATAATAAAAATGGTTAGAACTTAGAAGGTAATGAGAAAGCGGCCTATTGCGTTGCCTACTGTGTGAATGCAATATTTATAGGCTATGTTTGGCAGACATAAGTCCATTTCTTCTAGCTTTTGTATTATTCAAAAAGTCTCTAAAAGCTTATAATTGTATGTTTGGCATGACAGATTTTAAGAGTTTTTGAAAAATTAAAAGATCTTTTTTGAGATGCTACAGGGAGTAGCATCTGAGAAAAGCATGTGACTTTTAGTTTTAATTAGTCCTAAGAGTTTGTATACCAAATCTAACTAAATCAAACAGTCAGCTTTTTACCAAACAGCTACCACATTTTCTTTTTAAGATCTTTTCAGTCACTAAAAGCTAACAATTATTAAAAAGCTCACAAAAGTATCTTTTAATCTAGTTGTGCCAAACATACCCATAATGTCTCCTTTTGCACCAAATTCATACATGTCATAGATATTAGTTTAATGAATTATTTTATTTATGTAACAGTAAAAACGTGAATGAAATAGCTAGTAATATTTAACATTTACAGATTATACTATTGGTTGGCACCAAGTTACAAGTGATCATCACAAAGATGGGGCTAAGGATTCAGGATAGGAATGAAATTGTGAAGGGAGTTCCTATTGTTGAGCCGAATGATGATCTTTTCTGGTTCAACCATCCTCGACTCCTACTCTTTCTCATTAACTTCGTTCTTTTTCAAGTATGTTAGCATTCATTTGGAATAAATTAAAAAATGAAGTACAATTATGTTCTATTAAGTTTATAACCTGATTAATCAACTCAAAAAATAAATGCAGAATGCATTTGAGCTCGCCTTCTTCGCTTGGACTTGGGTAAGCAAATGACAATCACTCAATATCTTTTATCACCCAATATATATGAAAAAATGCATCAAATAAACTGAAGGGATAACTTATCTTTATGGTGATCAAAAGAAGAAAATTAACATTGTCTTTCTTTGTTCCTTTTTTCTTTTGGTGTGGGTGGATTTTATAGTATATGTTTGGACTGAGATCGTGTTTCCATGACCACGTGGAGGATATCATTATCAGATTCACAATGGGGTATGATAACAAAGCCTTTTCTTAAGAAGAAAATTTGCCCTTTTTATAGAATAATTATCGTTATTGTTAATAACACACAGTTTCTCTGGATCTGCAGTGTTCTCATACAAGTTCTATGCAGCTACGTTACCCTGCCTCTATATGCCCTTGTGACACAGGTAAACAAACATTCATAACTAGAAAGAGGGTTTATTCGAGGGAAATTACTTTAATTAATTAATTATTTTAATTAATTAATTAATATGTTTTCTCTTTTTATTTTATTTAGGAACTTTTTACTTTCAATCCCATGTAGTGTGATCCCAAAAGTTTATAAAGATCACTATAAAAATGTATCCAACCAAATAAAAAAGAGTACTTTGGCAAAGCTAGAGGTTTAGTATTGAGGGTTAGAGATTAACAAAAAACGGGTCTGCTGGGCGCACGGCCAAAATTGCTATGGACACCAATATTTTGTCAAAGTTGGACAAGTGTATCCTTACCCACGTCGATAAGGAAACATGCCTAATTAGGTTGCTAGGCACACCCACATACTTTTCCCTATTAAATTCACTATCATCCATATTACGGAGTAATTTTTTTAATGGGCCTTATTGTTTCATTAAAATAAAAATAAGTTTTATATTTCCTATAAAATTTTGTGTAACATGTTTCTAAAAAATAACGTAACTATTTTGAAATATACTCAAATTTACCATCAAACAACTACTATATAAATAGTTGGAACCCATTATTAATACTCTCATAATTTTTTTACAATCTTCTTATACAAATATACAATGGAGAATGAATCTGAAAATTATCTAAAAAATAGTACTCTTGATTTTCAGACTTATGAGATATTCATCTGCCTCATTATCTGTATCCCATTTCTTCTTTTTGATGTGTTTCATGAAGTTTGTCAATACTTAGAGTAGTATAGCCTTGTTATTATTTTTAATCTTGAAATTGCTATAACTATTTTATTTGTAATCTAGTTTTTACAAAAAATATATGAAATTGCTATAACTATTTTATTTGTAATCTAGTTTATATCGTAAATATATTAACAATTGTTGGATTGCACGAAAAACTGATTGACACAAATATCAAACCCCGTAAATTTGGATTTTTCTCATGTTTTCGATCCCAGATCAAACTCAATCGGCACCATGCTGATTCCACATTACGACCATATATGTTACATGACTAGATTTAGGATGTGAATGATATTTTGAATATTTCTAATTGAACTGATTTTGATCCAAACATATTTCAAACAAATTAGATCAGATCGGACTAAATTAGATTTTAATAATACTACGTAGTGAATACACATTTATCGGCTATTCACCATACCTGGCCAATTGTTTTTTTAAATATACATATATATGATATTGATGTCATATGATATATCATAAAAAAATATTTAATTTGATATAATTTTTATAAAAAGAGGAGCAAAAATAAAAAAGTTATAACATATAATAAAAAATGAATTTTTTGCCACATAGCAGCAAGTTGTTGGATGGTGAGTAAAACTCAATAGAACTCCACATATTGCAAAATTGTTAAGGACAACCCTTCTGATCCTACGAGAACTCCAAGTATTATTTAGTTTTTAACTTAATTTTAATTTAATAACCAAAAAGGTCAAAACCGTCATGCATAGGTTACGTAAAGTAAATATGGGGGTGCGCAAAGCAACCCCCACAAAAAATTATCACAAGGGCGGATGTTCTTACTTAAGTAGATTCTTATAGTTTATAAATACCTAAGTTTCTTACTTAAGTATATTATATGATCTAAGGAGATATATAAAGATGAATCTTCAGCGTTGGATTTGATAATTGTGTATTTCTTGATATTGAAATGTGCACTATCAAAGATGAAAAAACATTGTGGTATTTTATAAATTGATTGGACTTTTTATGGTGTTGCAAAATGTGCATTTTAGATTTTTGATTGATAGTTTTCAATCATTCAAATTTCGTATCGACAATTTTCATTTTTTAGGTCCTAGATTATATTGTTAAAGCATTTTTAATTTTATTTCAGAAATTTATCTGTAGTTTAGGCACACTTTGAGCATTTTAAACGTCACAATAGGAATACCACGTTCATCAATAATTTGAACTGTACCTCTAATAAAACATTTGCACTTCTTTAATTTTTGTTCTCAAGATGAAATTATTACTCCATCCGTCTCATTTTGGTTGTCTTACTTTTCTTTTTGGGTTGTTCCAAAATGGATGTCATATTTCTTTTTTTTTGGTAAGGAATTTGTGGTGCATATCATTTCACTTCGTTAATATTCTACTCAAATCTCAACCACATCTTTTACTTTTTAACCATTCTATTAATAATTGTGTCAAATTGAAACAAGACAACCATTATGGGACGGAGGTAGTAACATTTAAAAAGAGTGTCTATTTTACATAAGAATCCAACAAAATAATTTTCTTAACTTGCTTAGGGACAAAAAGATAGTGTAATATTGGCACTCAAGTAATATATGCATAATGTGATGTCCAAAAATACGCAGATGGGTTCCAATATGAAACCAACTATTTTCGATGAGAAAGTAGCTACGGCATTGAAAGGATGGCACCACACAGCAAAGAAACGAATAAAAGATCAAAGTAAGAATGGCAGTGCAAACATTACTCCCACATCAAGCCGCCCAGGAACTCCATCTCGCCATGGCATGAGTCCGGTGCACCCCCGAAATCGGAGCTACTACCAAAGTGAAATTGACATGATGAGCAGCGCTCAATCAACTGTGCGTGATAAATCTGATTTTGAGGACTTAAAAGACAATTCGAGTGGGGAAAATAACAATGCTGATAGGATCGGTAGCTCAAAGCCTCCCTCTCAGTTGTTCTCGAACCATAACGGTGGACGACAATCACGGCATGAACCGTCGCCCTCTTCTTCTTTTAACAACACGACGCACCAATATGATGATAATAATGTAGAATTAAAGATTGATGATGATATCACCACCTCATTGGAGATTACTCATGTGCCACTGCCACACCATGAGGTTAATGTTAAGGAACAAATAGATTTTTCGTTTGATAAAAGATTAGATTGAACTTGTGAAACTTGTCAACAATGTATTATAAAGAATAAAATTCTATTTTTGATCCTAATAGTGTGGTGCACAAAAATATTGGAGAAAACCAATTTGATGCTGAATCTTTAGGCGATTACATATTATCGTTGATGCATTGAAACTTGTAGTTCCATATAAAAAAAATTAATATAGTAGGAGTAGTACCTCATTTTTTCATCATTTTCAATGAGCCAAAGATTCATTATGTTTTGGCTTGAGATTATGATAGAATGGAGCAAAATGGCCCACTAAACTGTCTGCGCTTCTTTGTTATGAAGCATCATTCAGTCCATGCAATTTTGGACGCGATTTTCACTACGGGTCATCCGGAAACAGTCTCTCTATGCTTTAGTACAGGGGTAATACTGCGTACATCCGACCCCCCCTACCCCACCAAAGGTGGGAGCCTTTGCGGCACTGGGGTAAATGAAAATGAAATGAGTAGGAGTAGTACCTCTCATAGTATTAAGGCTTGGATGTTGTTGTTGTTGTAGTAGGAGTAGTACCTCATAGTATCCTAGCCGCATGCGCTTAATGTATGTGAATTGATATTGTTGTTATAGTTGGTTGATGCAATTTTTTATAACAAAGAACGCTATTTTATTAAATGAAAGAGCAAAGTAAAGTACAAGAAAAATACAAAAGTTAAATGTAGAAAAGGAAAGCAATGAAAGGAAAAAAAGCAATAGGTAACCCAACCAGCAGAACAACTAAGAAATATTACCTGAATTGAAAGAGTAAAAGAGATTATTCTAGATTGAAGAGATCCACACGAGATTGGGATCTACTCCTCATTATATGCGATCACCGATAATTTTTCTTGTATAATTTAATTTGAGTGTTCAAATTTGACTTGTGCATGCATTAGGGATGCGGGAAAAAAATTAGATTCTTTCGTTAGGATTTCTTTTAATTTAATGAATATATGTTTGTATTTTTATTTGAATTTTAGAATGCGAATAGTCTTATACGAAGTCAAATACCGAACTGAGTACAGATTATCATATTCTTATACAACCTTGACTCCAATGACTACATTGCCTATTCATGTCCTCCATTTGAAAACCAAAACCCCAATAATATTACTGAGAAATATTAATCACACATAACTTTATTCAATGGAACGTAGTTGGCTAGAATCACTGTTCTAAAAATCTCTCTAGGCGTCCAACTAGTCCCAGCCTTAATAAGTATAGCACCTAGATGAATTAATTGACCACCTAGGGTGTCTAACCGGCCGCTTATGATGTCTAATCGGCCGCTTACGGCGTCTAGATAGTTCTCAAACACGTTTTTTTGCTCTTTTTCTAAGAGATATATAATATGTACCTTTAACTTTAACCATGGATATAAAGAAAGTTACTTGTAGATTAAGATAAAAACAATATATGTTCGTGTATATATATATATATATATATATATACATTTTTAAGGAAAAATATATATAGAAACATATATAGTTTTATAAGTTTAAATGCGACGATTCTGCCACTCTCATGTTAATGTGTGCATATAGTCACACAAAAATACACTATTACTTATCATATTTATGCAAAAATATTGATAAAATGTAATTTTTATGCTCTAATTAATCCCTGTCTAGGCGCTAGGCGTAGGCCTAGCGCCCGACTAGCGCCTAGCACCTTTTATAACATTGCCTATAACAAGACTGGAAAAGCAAGTATGACATGTCGTAACTCGAAAAACTATGAAACCGGCTCAAGCTTACATATTAAGAATCTCATTGCCACCATATATATGATAATTTTATTCAATTTCAGAATTAAGCAATTTAATGTCATGGTAAGCTATGCAATGACAATCTATAAAAGTCAAAGCTAATGTTATCACATAAAATTTCATTTATACCTTGAGATATAAGTTTTAATAATGTACAATTTGTACATTGCAATACCAAGTTAGGGTAATGAGCAAATACATCTTAGATCGATACTCATACGTTCAAAGGAAATAAATTTCTTCGCCAAGATGGTGAATAATATTTATAAGGAGGTTTCCCAAAACCTAACAATATGATGTTTGGTGTGTGTGATATTATATTTCAATGACATTTTTTAATTTATACTATTTAATGAAGTTGTTACTCTCCACAACGAGCAAACGTTTATTTGAAATAAAAGGGTGAATCATTTATATATTATATTACCCCTGTCCCAATGAACTTTGCACACTTTGAATTATGTGAGAAATAAGAAAAGGAAAAATTCGTGCGTTTAATGTTTGTGCAGATGAGAAAGAAATAAGTAGAACCATAAATTACTTGCTTTAATTGGAAAGTGAAAAAGTTTTTTGGGACAACCAAAAAAGGGAAAATTGCCAAAATCGAATGGGATGGAGAGAGTAATACACACACACACACACACACACACACACACACACACACACACATATATATATATATATATATATATATATATATATATATATATATATATATATATATATATATATATATAGACAAATGTTCAGGTCTGGAATTCCCGACCAGAACCGCCGTCCGGCCGACGGCGTTTGGGGCCTTTCTCGGTGGCGTTTTTCGATGAATTTTTTATGGAATATTCTTCATCAAGTCTAGTTTATCCACAAAACGATTCAGCTAAAAACCCAATCCGGAAGGTCTTCAAATGATTTTTGGAAGTTAACTGCGTTTTATATGTATTGTTTTGCGCAGTTAAATTCAAAAAATCATTTGACAACCTTCCTGATTGAGTTTTTAGCTGAATTGTTTTTTGGATAAACTAGACTTGATGAAGAACAACATGTCATAAAAATTTCATCAAAAAAATCCACCGGGAAGGACCCCAGAAGCCGTCGGCCGGACGGTGGTTCCGGTCAGGAAGGCCTGACCGGAATACTACTCTCTCCTCTCTCTCTCTCTCTCTCTCTCTCTCTCTCTCTATATATATATATATATATATATATATATATATATATATATATCCCACAAACTATACAAACATTCTTAACGACGAGGTAAAACACTAGTTATATTAAAAGTGGTACTTTTAATCTTCAAAGAGTAATTTAAGTAAAATTTAATCTAGGGGTGGGCAAAAATACCGAACCGGCATGGTACCGAACTGGACCGGTATCGTACCAGACCGATAAACGTTGTTTGAAATGGATCTCATTTTTTTGTCCCAAACCGGACCGTACCGATTCCAAACAATGCCATGACTGGTTCTCATAAAATGAGAACCGGTACCGGACCAAAGTATGATTTAGTTATTTAAATTTATACTACTATAGTTTATCTCAAATTTATTAATTACCTCATCCGTTCCAAATTGATTTGCAAAGTCAACATTTTTGGTCAACCAATATTAATGTTAAGTCCTCCCTAATGATAATTAATACAATTTTTAATAATTAAAATTTACATATTTAGAGTCCACATTAAAATCTCTTTAAAGTTGCAAAATCCAAATTATAATTTACGAAGTACTTTTATTTTGAAAGGCCAAATACGAATATAATTTAAAAGTGATATCCTAATTAAGTGAATATGAAGAAACTGTTTGACCAAAAAAGATGGACTTTGCAAATGAATTTGGGACGAACGTAGCATGAAATATGAAAATTGATAAGTTGTGTAAATTTTTGGAGGATGAATCAACATGAATTTTTCCTTAATGATTTGTAAAAAAGTAGCATTGTTTGATATTGGTGTGACATGATACCGTCCCATTTAAAAATGCACCGTACCGAACGAGTTTATGTCTAAGACCAAACTGAACCGTTTCAATAGTCATGATAAAGATACGAGTTCGACAAAATATTGGATCGGATCGAATCGTGCCCACCCCTGATTTAATGAGAGAAGTAACTTCAGTGCACGACAGGTCGGGGCCAAATAAAGTGGCCTGCTAGGTTATAAGGAACTTAATAGTTTCAATAAAAGCTTGGATTAATCAATTTTAAAAAATATACTACCTCTGTCCCTTAAAACTTTGGCAAAGTTTACCGGCACGAAGAATAATAAAGTAAAATTTATGTTGTTGAGATTTGTGCAGAGGAGAGAGAAATAACAGAAACCACAAAATCTATTAAAATAACCAAACACCTCTTCAATGGACTAATGTGGCTATTTTTTATGATCAACCCAAAAAGTAAGTGTATAACTACTTTTTCAGCTGAAATCTATTATTCTACTATTAAGCTATTGAAAAACATTATTATCCATACTTTTTAACTCAAAAGCTCATCTCATGAAACAGCTAAATAATTCTTGGGAGTACTTCTGTGTTGCATACCAAGTACTCCGTATTAGATTGAAGCCATGTAGTGTCTTCAATAAATATTATACAGAACTACAGAATACTTTGTATTTTAGTATACCACTCCAACTATTTTTTATTTAATTGGTATTTAAAACACTTAAATACATTATTTATTGGTATACTAAAATTAATACTCTTTATAGTAATTACACATTCAATCAGTTATTTCAGTCAAAATAATATCAAACACTCTTACTTCAATACTTTCAGTCATTTCAGCCAAATCAAAAAATTCAAGGAGTAACCAAACAAGCCCTAAATGTGTAATTGTTTTGTGTGTTTGTTGAAAACTAGATGAGTCAAAAAATGAATGTAACCCTTTACAGCTTATAAGGAGTAATTAAAGACGCCGATAGTACGGAGTAACTACGCGGAAAGACCGCCACCGAAGTTCTTATCTTTCATACGCAAGAGTCAAGAGTCCTCAAGAGTCAAACCGTCAAGGTAGAGAGGTACAACTCATTTCCAAATGCAATCAAATTTCAAAGAAACAAGAATAAATAATTTATGTTCTTAGAAATAAGATAATTACGGAGTATATTTTTTTCCTTAAATATGTATGAATAAAATACTCATTTACAAATGCTATAGCCTATATGCGTAGCGGTGTACTAACATATACTTCGTACGTAGTAATATAACACTATTGTTTCATAATGATAATATTTACTTTTATTTAAAAAAACATACTCCGTCCCAGGCCATTACACTATCAATTTTTCTTATAAAAA